GCAATATGGCTTTTTGTTCGGGGAGCAGCTGGCCTCCAGGGGCACGTCTACACTGCAGGCTAAAGTCAAGTTAAGATCCGCAGCGTCAGCTACAGTAACTGCGTAGCTGAAGTGGAAGTATTTTAACTCGACTTTAGACGCGGTCTACACAGCAAGAAGTCAAAGGAAGAATACTTTCCCTCCACCTTCCCTCCCTCCTCGTGAAAGGAGAGTTACAGAAGTCAGGGTAAGAAGCCCGTTATTTCGAAATTCTGGCGAAATAACAGGCGTGCTGTGTAGACGCACACTCTGTTATTGTGATTTTTATTTTCCCGTTCAAACAGGTCCAGCTCTCCAAACAGAGGGCAGAAACAATGCCACATGACTTAGACGACTGGTCTCAGAGCATGAATGAAACTAAACGGCACACAGAGTCACGAAATCGATCCCCCGACCGTCCAGCCAATCGGGCAGAGCAGCATGGCCTTCAACCATTCCTGAGCGATTTCCCAACAAATAACATCTGCACAATCATGAGAAGTCAAAATCCTGATTTCGCTCCCACACCCCCAAAGCAAATCAAACACACTGTCTCTGACCCAAATGTTCTCCTGCATTTTGGGGAGTCTACCTGCGAGTTTCATCCCTCCCTGCCCGACTCTGCTTCCAACACCCAAGTCACTGTGTTGTGACTTCACAACGGTTGCTGGGGCGACAGACAGTGATGTCACCGATGCAGCTGCAGGCCTAGACTGTAGGAGATTTTGGTTCTAAGGCTGCCAGAGTGAGAAAACATACAGCGTACAATCGGTTTTTATCCACCCTCTCCCTCCCACACACACACACAAGTTTGCTCCCGTCTGCAAGTCCCGTCAGCGTACGATGCTTTACGACGTGTTCCCTGACGCACGGCAGGTCAGCTAATAGCCTACCAAGTGCCAGGCAAGTCCCATAACTCAGGGTGAGGAACAGCCATGAAGTGCCATAAAACCCTTTCCCATTTCTGAATGGAAAGACCAGAAGCTCTGGGCCAGGTGAACAAATCAATTCTCACATCCCCTCCCGTGTAATGCTTGGAAGCCACGCTACACTGATAGACGGATGTTCCAATCTGGTTACGAGGCTGGTAATGAATACACACGAGCCTCATAAACGTGTGGAAAATTACTCATAAATCTTTGAAGATGAAGAGAAAAAAAACCCACCCCTGACTACAGAACTGCCTTCTTCAGAAACGGCCGTCTCGGCAGAGACTCGGCTAGAACTCATGGGCCTGTGGCCAAGGGGCCAGCTACTTGCACTGAAAGATGTATTGGCCGCATCAATGGTGCCTGAGGAAAACGGCTTCGCTTTCGATTGGCCTTACCACACAAAGAAGCTCGCTACTATTGAGCCCACCACCTTTCATCTCTTTTGCGGAAATTCAAGCGGCCAGTGTAGACGGCTGGCAAGTTTTTCCGCAAAAGCAGATGATTTTGCGGAAAAACGTGTCAGTCTAGATACAGCCGAGATGAATAACAGAATCATAAGCACGCTAGAGCTGGAAGAGACCTCGCGAGGTCATCAAGTCCAGTCCCCTGCCCTCATGGCAGGAGCAAGCACCATCCAGATCAGGGCTACTCAACTTTGGTAGCCCCAGGGGCCACAATGAAACTCACAGCACATGCCGAGGGCAGCAACTTAAGTGTGGTTGCACATACATGCAAATATATGCAAATAGCTTCTTTCACACTGACAGGCACGAATGCAAAGATTAAGGCAAGACTACACCACATGCAGACCCCATTTAAGTCAGTTCTGCTGATATTAATAAAATGCAGTATTTACCCAATTTCCAGCCATATGACAGCACTTTTAACGAGCAATGACAGTCCAGGAATTTAACTACTAAAATGCAGATCAAAAGAAGACCATTACATTGACTCGCTGTTGTGAAGCGTGTTCCCAATGGAGGCCATGATCAGATGATCCCGCCCACGGGCCATGTGGTGAGTAGCCCTGATCTATATCATCCCTGACAGGTGTCTGTCCAGCCTGCTCTTAAATATCCCCAGCGATGGAGATTCCACAACCTCCCCAGGCAATTTATTCCAGCGTTTAACCACCCTGACAGGCAGGAAGTTTTTCCTAATGTCCAACCTCAACCTCCCTTGCTGCCGTTTAATCCCATTTAAGCCCATAAAGTCTCTTCTTTATGAATATAATAGAGAAGAGGAGCGTAGTAGCTCTTTAAATAGTCTAGGAGCCCTCTAATGGTGCTCACTGTGTTTTCATGTGGCCCAATCTGGCTGTAGTAGCTGTCTGTGTATGTGGCTAGTCCTGGCATGTTGTGTAGAGTTGTGAACATGATTATTTGGATGCACCTGGGCCTGAGTGGTCGCTACACACTCTCCCGGCTGCGTAAGGAGCCCGGCAACATCGTTGCTTTTCTGCTCCCAGACCTTTTGGAATAGCCCTGTGTGACGGCGCGTCAGGGTCCCCCATCTCCTGCACCCCCGTAGTGGCACGAACAGACTCCCCCAGCCAGTAGAATAGAGGGAGTTTATTGCTTCTCCAGGATACAGCACAGCACAGATGTGATCTGGTTACAGGGCAGGCCTAAAATGCCTCAGCCCCCCCTTGAGATGGGGGAGACTGGGTCCCTAAATCCCAGCCCCTTTCCCTAGGCTGTCTCCTCCATGCTCCCCGACAGAAACTAACTCACTCACTTCCAGCCCTGCCCCCAGCCAGGGCTCCACTCCCCTTCTTCCCATTGTTCCACTCCCTGGGAGATCACTGGTCAGACAGGTTTGGAGCCCCCTCTGCATAATGACTCATCCCCTGCCCTGCTGGGCCGTACTGCAGCCAGTGGAGGTCACTCACAACCCACTGCCCAGCATAGCCACCAGCAAGGTACCCCCACTACGTCACACCCTGCGAGCGTGTGTTTGCATCTCACAGGCCAATCCAGTCCCAGCGTGAATCCCACTGAGCCAAATACCACTCTGGTGTCAGAGGGGGCAACTTCAGCAGTTTTGCTACAGTCGCTCCAGCCCCGCGGGAACTGGGAAGGGGATTCCCGAGCGTTGGTTCCACTCTTGGGGACCAGCTGGGTGGTTTTATGGAGCTGAGCTGGATCCTGGATGCAGCCGGATGTGCTCAGCTCAGTGCCACGTCACAAACAGCAACACAACCTCGCCTGTGCCAGGATCTGCCATGCTGCAGAGCACTGCAGGTGTGTGCAGCTGGAATATACCTCCCCTGCTGCCTAAGAGCCCACGCCTGGGAAGCCACGGCTCAGTGGCTGCGCGGGTGCCATTCAAACGCACCTGTTTTCAGTGTCACGTCAGTGGGCCACAGCACCGCAAAGCTGAGAAGACTATACAGACGCTCCCTGTATCAGCAGGAGAACTGCCTAGGAAGTCGTTGCTTTGTGCTCCGTGCCAATGGCTGTGATCGAAAAGCGAACTTCCTGATGCAACCTAGATCCTGCAAGCGCCTAAGCACCCTCAGACGGGGGGTGTCCGACACTGCTGTGTTTGGGAAACCTGACCGGCCGTACCCCCAAACTTTACACAAGTGCTGCTATGCTGACCAAGACCGTCCCATCTGAAGAAGTGGGCTGTGCCCACAAAAGCTCATGATACTATCTCTGTATTTTTGCTAGTCTCTAGGGTTATGTCTACACTGGCGTGTTATTGCGCAAGAAGGGCCATTCTTCCGCAGTGTCCACACTGCCCACTTGCTCTTGCGCAAGAAGATTTACAGTAAAGCGTGGTAAGAGAGGGCTTCTTGCGCAAGAGCTACGCTCTTTTCTAACAGGTGTAAGGCCTCTTGTGCTAGAGCTCTTGCGCAAGAGGGCAGTGTGGACGCACGGCAGGGGTTTCTTGCACAAGAAACCCCTATGGCTAAAATGGCCATCAGAGCTTTCTTGTGCAAGAGAGCATCCACACTGCCATGGATGCTCTTGTGCAAAAGCACATGGCCGTGTGGACGTGTTCTTGTGTAAGAGTTCTTGCACAAGAACCCTTGCGCAAGAAGCCATCAGTGTAGACACAGGCAATGGGTATGTCTACACTTGCACCCTATTTCAGGAGAAGGATGCAAATGCAGCTGAATGAAATTGCAAATGAAGCGTGGATTTGAATTCCCCACGCTTTATGCATATTTGCGTTATGGCGCTATTTCGAAATAGCGCTATTCCGAAAAAAGAACCGCTGTGTAGATGCCTTTATTTCAAAAGAAAACCCTTCTTCCGAAATAACTGGTAAACCTCGTTGTAGGAGGAATAAGGATTATTTCAACCTTTGAATAAATTCAAATGCTGCATAGTCCTGTCTTTTGTTTCAGCAAGACCAGACTAACACGGCTACATCTCTATTACTATTCAAGAGGCAGTAGGTAGATTGGTGGAAGAATTCTCCCATTGGCCCTGCATTGTCTACACCAGGGGTTAGGTTGGCTTAACTACACCATTATGACGGATTTTTCACACCCCTGAGCAACGTAGCTGGGTCACCTAAACTTTCTTAGTGTAAACAAACTCAACTGTCCAGGACAACCCCTGAAAGTTGTACTAGTACACCTAGTTCGGTTACTGGGGCAATTTCTTTTAACTCAGACTGATGGGTCTTAAACGGGCACAGCTTATTCCCCTTCCTGGATAGGCATCACCCCTGGGTACTAAGCACTCATTCCAGCCTACGTACCGCTCCACTGGGGCGCGGGGTTGGTACCTCTGCAGATAAATTGTTGCACGCAATCAAGGCCTGTGTCCTCTACTCAAAACTGTGAGGCCCGGCGCTGCTGCCGGCTGCACTGTAACTGCAAGGCTCAGGGGGAGAGCTTGCCTCCTGGAGAGCCTTTTCCCATGGGGAGGTGTCATTCCAGCAACCCGAGCCAGACAGTGCGATCCTGCCACAGCAGGTCTCTCCCTCCCCACAAAAGCAGGGCCAGTCACTCGGGTTGGGAAAGGCCAGGCAGAAGGGACGAAAAACAAACGGCCAGCGGGCAGCTCCCTACGGGGATCGGTCATGGCTTACAGAGACAGGAGGTTTGGAAGATCCCGCAGTGCCTCGGCAGGAATCCGGCTTAGCTGGTTGTTCTGCAGCATCCTGTAATGAGAAAAGAAAAGGCTGTTAAAAAACCAACAACCGGGAGGCTTTCTCCACTCCCTGGGCAAAGCCTAGAGACCAAAGACCAAAGGTGGAGGGGATGGAAGTGATGTTTGGGGGACCCAGCGTTCCCGAAACGCAGAGCGTAGCACAGACGTGATGTCTGCATTGTGGCTGGTGGCGTAACTCCCAGCACATGTTAGCTCTGCTCACTGGTATTCCAGACCACTGTGGCATGGGCAGCCGTCCATGTACAGCCCCATCTAAGATCCTCGGGATGTACTCAGGTGGCTAGCCCAGAACGCCCCTGTGCTGTCATGGCCACTGGGAAGTTCTTAAACGTAAGCCTGAGCAGAGCTAGCAGAGGACCGGCTACCCGAGCTGGGATTTAAACCTGCAGCATAGAGGGATCAAGGATCCTGCAGCAGAGAGTTCCATAGGGAATGAGGTGGTGTTTGATGGGAACATTTGAGGAAGGCAGTGGGCTGTGTGGGACATTAAAGGGTTCTCTCCTGACTCCCAAGTCTTGATGGTGGAGGACTGGCCCCACATTTATAGGGGATGGATCCTGGTGTTGCATATCCTTCTGGGAGCACACAGAGGGGGTGTCTACACTGCACCGTAACTCGAAATAAAATACGCAAGTTGAGCTACGCAATTATGAAATAAGCTATTTTGAAATAGCATTGAAATTGCGTATCTTATTTCAATGCTATTTCAGAATAGCTTATTTTGTCATTTGGGCTGTCTACACAGCATCAAATTCCAACATAAAGTGCTATTCCGAAACGTCCCTGACTCTCTGTAGAATGAGGGTGGCAAGGACGTTGGAATAGCAAGCCTGAAATAATGGGCTCGCTATGAAGATGCGAGATAGCTATTTCGGGATACTCCGGTATAATAGCGTTGCCCATAGATGTACCCATACACAGGCCCTCCACAGGGGGCTGGGTTCTCTCATTCTGGTGTTTGTAAGAATAATGAGATTCCACACAGACCCACACGTTACTGCTCTTTATACATCACCATTGTTAATCAATTATCATTAGGACCAATGAGGGAGGGTTCCCTGCTCCGACAGGCTAGCAAGGGGACTGGGTGCATTCCAACAGCAGTGCAAGGTACACATGGGGATGGAGCTGCGGCTGCTAGGGCTGAGGCACCCTGCTGGGTGCAGGTGAGGTCACACCTGGAACAAGAACTCAGGCCAGGTGAGGAAGGACCCCAGAAGATACAGAAGCAGGTTCTGAAGATGGTGAAGGACCACGAGAGTTATGCAGTAACTAAGGGACCAGGCTGCTTTGGAGAGAGAGAGACAGACTGGGGCCATAACTAGCCCATTAGTTCCAGGGGAACAGTTCGGATTGGCTTTGGCAGGGCCGACTTATCCATCAGGCACAGTAGGCACAGTGCCTAGGCCCACGAAAATGTTTTAATTTCTTTTACAATCAGAAGAAAAAAAATGAACTTTTAGGGTCGAAGAAAATGTTTTAAATTTTTTCTCACATCAGAAAAAAATGAAACTTTTAGGGCCCACGAAAATCTCTTACATTTTGCCTAAAACAGAAAAAAAAATGTTGAAGTATTTAAAGTGATATACAAAATAATTTTGAATATTTTTTTTTTATGGAGGAAGGGGCCCACGAAGGTAAAAGTGCCTAGGGCCCACGAAAGTCATAATGTGGCCGAGGGCTCTGGTGGCTTCCACGCAGCTTCATTGTGAGCCAATAGCAGAGGCAGGAATAATACGTAGACGTCCTGCCACCCAGTCTGCTGCTCTGCCCATGCAGCTTCCCGCTGGGCATGCTGTCATGCCCTCAGCAAATGCCCATTTGGGTAGAGATCAGTGCTCCTTGTAAGCTCAGGGGAGATTCAGATGCCGCCTGGCTGATTAGCAACCCCCACAGCGAGGGGTTTTGTTTCGACTGGTGGTGCACATTCACGCTCTCAGGGGATAAGTGTCCGCCTGGCAAAGCCACCACTCCCAAACATCACAGTTGGGGTGCCTGGAGGCTGAGAAGGGCGACAGGAACCCTCTTGCAGGAAGGCCGCGGCATAACACGACTTGATTTCTCAGAACCCAGAGCAATAGCGCCCCAGAGCCCCACCCCAGAGAGAGAAAAACCCGGCGGCTCCCTAAGACACTGACGCACAACACCCTCCTCCCCATGGCTGCCTGCTTGAGAACTGAGTGCTGCTGCTAGGCCCGGCTTTCCAGCTTCCCGACAGAGCCACTACCCTGCAGGGACAAGGAACAGACGCTGAGAATTTACAGTGACTTCTCACACTGTCGGTAGTTTCCAATATCCCAAACTTCTGCGCTGGCCCGGCCTTTGGGCAAAGTGAGCGAGGTGGTTGCATTGGGCCTCCCACATTCAAGGCCCCTGCCCACCCGGCCGCTCACCCGCTGCCCTGACTGGGAGCCACGCAGCCGTGCGGCTCAGCCTAACACAGCACGCCGCCTTGGGCCCCGCAAACTCTTTGGCCAGGCCTGCTTCTGCAGAACAAAATGCACCTCAAACAACGACACACGTTAAAGCAGTTCTAAGGCACCTGGAGTGTCTGGTGCCTCTGGGTGGCTGGGGCCTTTGGACATCTCACCTGCCGTGATAGCTCATGCTCTTTGGTATCTGTAAATTCAGTCCTGGGTATCAGCTCTTAGAGGTACGTGTTTATATCAGGGAAGGCCTGGCACCTATTGCAGAGGGCAGTGAGGTTTGTGAGTAGGATTGCTAGGCGTCCGGTAGTGACCCGGACAGTCCGGTATTTTTGCCTCCTGTCCGGTAAAAAAATCCAGAAAATAACGGACACCTAAAATGTCTGGTATTTTCTGATTTTTTTCCCGGCCAGGAGGCAAAAATACCGGACACCTGGCAACCCTATGACACACTTAATAACTCTCTGAGTTCTTTTTTTTCTCAGCAACTTTGGTCTCCCCCTCTTTTTTGCCCCCCCCAACAGAATTTTTTTCCCGGTGTTTTTTTTTTGGGGGGGGGGGGAAATTCGGTATTTTTGGGTAAACTATCTGGCAACCCTACTTGTAAGTTCCTATCTCGGACTGTTGTGCAGTCAGCATCTGGCTCTTGAGAAAGCTCTGTCTCTAGCTAGGACAAGTCTTTCCCTCGTGGTAGAATCATAGAATACTAGGACTGGAAGAGACCTCAAGAGGTCATTGAGTCCAGTCTCCTGCCCTCATGGCAGGACCAAGTACTGTCTAGACCATCCCTGATAGACATTTCTCTAACCTGCTCTTAAATATCTCCAGAGATGGGGATTCCACAACCTCCCTGGGCAATTTATTCCAGTGTTTGACCACCCGGACAGTTGGGAACTTTTTCCTAATGTCCAACCTAAGCCTCCCTTGCTGCAGTTTAAGCCCATTGCTTCTCGTTCTATCCTCAGAGGCCAAGATGAACAAGTTTTCTCCCTCCTCCTTGTGACACCCTTTTAGATACCTGACAACCGCTGTCATGTCCCCCCTCCATCTTCTCTTTTCTAAACTAAACAAACCCAATTCTTTCAGCCTTCCTTCATAGGTCATGTTCTCTAGACCTTTCATCATTCTTGTTGCTCTTCTCTGGACCCTCTCCGATTTCTCCACATCTTTCTTGAAATGCGGTGCCCAGAACTGGACACAAGACTCCACCTGAGGCCTAACCAGCGCAGAGTAGAGCGGAAAGTTCTGTTGAACGTGGGCAGCGGGATTCCAAAGTGCTGTTGTCATCCCAGAGCTCGACACCATCTTTTAGGTCCCCGGGGCCTGGGCCACAGTCTCCTCACGACAAGGCCGAGCCCTTGACTCTATGGGGAGCCCTGATAGATGGTGGAGGACGGGTGTGGTGAGCTCGTGGTCGCCCATGTTGCCACGGAGCTGCGCTGCGGAGTTGTGGAGCGTGGGGCTTCGCGCCCAGGGGTGTTGCCTGGGGAGAGTCCAGCGGAGAGGTGGCACAGCCATGTGTAACCCAGGCCAGGGCGCTGTCTGACAGGACAGTGTGAGAGCTGCCCCATCACACCAGCTCCACACACGAGCAAGTGACTCCACAAGCTCTGTGGGCCCAATCGCCCAGGGAAATGGTCCCTCCCACACACGGGGCCGGGGATTGCCTCTTTCCCCACCCTCATTCAGTGGCCAGAGCCCTTCAGGGGGGAGTAAAGCCAGAGCTCTCCCCAGGCCTATCATGGCAGCTTTTCAAGTCCCTGGAAACTCAGTCTGCCTGTTCCCTGCTCCTGGGCCTGCTGGAGGCACAGTAATTGTGTCTGGAGGGAGCTGGAAATGGCAGAGAGTCTGGAGGGGTTTCACAGGCCCACCTGCCAGCGATCCCTCCCAAGAAGCTGACAACATCATTACAGAAAACAATTCAAGCAGCTCTAACAGCTCAGCAGTGAATCAAGAGCACACGACAGCCTAACACATCCCTGCAAACCTGGCTCGGAACCTGCTCCCCACACCTGGCCCTGGCAGCCAAGGTTCAAGGATGCTGAATGTGCCCGGTGAGGAAAAGACTGGGAATGCATTAATTCTAGCAAGCTAAAACCCCTTTCCATGACTAATCTCCACCGGGAAGCCTGAACGGGTCAGCCACTACAAGCACAGACTCTTCCTTCCTTCACTTCGTCAAACGATGGGGACTAATTTAGCTACAGCTACAGATTTGGGTGTCATTGTGGATAGATCTTTGACAACATCCACTCCGTGGGCAGCGGCAGTGAAAAAGCAAATAGATTGTGAGGAATCATTAAAAAAGGGATAGAGAAAAAGACAGAAAATATCTTATTGCCTCTCTATAAAACCCTGGTACGCCCACATCTTGAATACTGCATACAGATGTGGTCGCCTCATCTCAAAAAAGATCTATTGGCACTGGAAAAGGTTCAGAAAAGGGCAACAAAAATGATTCAGGGTTTGGAACGGGTCCCATATGAAGAGAGATGAAAAAGACTTGGACTTTCCAGCTTAGAAAAGAGGAGACTAAGAGGGGTTAGGACAGAGGTCTATAAAA